TATTTTATGCTACGAAAGACTTCTTCAGCGATAGACAATTGTCAATGACTTAATAGTAACCCAATTAAGTGATTAACCAACCAACCTAAAGCTTCACAAAAATAAAACCTTGACAGAAATTCAAGTTTTGATTGCCCTATTATATTAGTTGGTTCGCGTTTGACAAATGTAGTTCCACCTGGATGGAGTGTTAATGTTACTGGCCAATAAATATTAATTCTTTGATCATAGTTGAAGAGAGCATAGTTAAAACTAATGTTAATTGCCATGGAGAAGAAAATGGTGGCATGAAGGAAACACAGTGATTAGCCATAATAAGTACACTCAAATTATGCTTATTCTTTTATTGCTTCTTAATTTAGATAAATCATGAAATGTTAAAATAATGATCTAATTTTGCTTTTCAAGCCTGGCTTGAAACTAAAATCCTCGTCAAACTCTACAATCTTTGGGAAGTGAAAAACAATGGTCTTTGACCATGTAGGTGACCATGAGGGGGCTTAATCCCCAAATCTCATGGGAGCAAACCATATGCCTGACCATCCGGCTAAGCCCTCATGGGTGTCAAGGACTCAATCATAAACACAATATTCCATTTAATTTTGGGGTAGAAAATTCATAGCATAGCTATACAAATCGTTTAATATTTCTTATGGTCTATTCCTTATTTATTTTAACATATTCCTTTGCAAAGATGAAAAGGAATGATAAAAAATATTTCAGGTCTTACAAGAAATAAAAACAGAAATAAAAAATGATTGGCTTAATGGAAAAATTTCAAGTCTTACAAAGTCATCACTTTCAAGCTTAATGGTTTCTGCATAACAGTTTCCCAATTCTGTTTCTCTATCCTTTATAAATGTAAGAAACTTTTCCATGCTTACCTTGGTTTGTTGAAGAAAATATTGCAGATATCTTATTTTGAACTCTTCCATAGCTTTCAACTGTTCTCTACCATGGTGAAGCGGCCCAATGGGGACTACTTTTGGATTGTAGAGCCCTACGTTTAATTGACGCCTGCTCTGAGGAACCTTATAGATGTAGCATTCATCAGATAAGGGATGCAATGTTTCAAACTCTTTTCTCAGAGAAGCGATAAATTCTTGATATCAATGGGTGCATGATCTTCTGTATTATCCATCTTATAGTTTGCTGAAATAGCAACATCACCGATGAGAAAACAGTAATTAATATTTTTTTTTTTTTTTTTTTATGAAAGAATTAAAAATCTATTCTTGAAACTACAATGACTTCAATTATAACATAATGTTAAATTTACAAATTGGTAGACAACATGCAACTCTTATAATTATTATAGAAGGATATTTCTTGCATAAATATTATCCTTATATGTTCATAACCAATAAATTACTATAGAAGGATAATTCTTACATAAATATTATCCTTATAATTACACCTAAAAAATAATTGCCTTTTAGCAAATGGACATAACCAATTAGGTGTTGCACATGACAATTATTTTGGTTGAAATTTTGATCATACAATTACTATTGAAAAGGTAGAAACGGAAGATTACACAACTCAATTAGAAGAGTAGTATAGAGAACAAATCTAAAATATGATTCTATTAGTATTTATACATAAATATATAATCGATTATTTAATTATAATTTAATCCTTTACCAAAATTACTAAACAAGATAATAAAAAGTATTAATTTGAAGCTTAATTGGCTTTTAAGAATTTTAACTTAATTTTCTCTCTCTCTCTCTCTTTTTTTTTTTTTTTTTTTTGGGTTTCTAAATTTTTTTTTTTAGATTATTATTAATTTTTAACAAAAGTACACGTCCATTTTATAACTTGGTTCTCCAGTGAACTACTGTTGTGGGTTTCAAACATGATAATATATATATGTGTGTGTGTAAAAGCACAAATAATATAAAATTCTAGAATAAATTTGAATGATACAAACTTGAAACTCAACCAAACTCAGCTGTGTGGGCGATGCAAATTAAATAAAGGAATTAAAATCGCAATGAGGGATATTAATTAAATGGACCAAACATTTGGGAGGTTAGTATTAACCAGATTCCCAAACCCTATAACTTTCTATCCAAATAATATCATATTCTGATTTTGCCCTGTTAAGCAAAGGTAATGTGAGGAATAAGTGAAACAGAGTAGTTTTAGAGAAGCTGGGTCTATTTTGTAATGATTGTATAAACTACATTGCTTAAGTGTAATTACATAATTTAAAAGCACTGCCGTTTTATAACAAATATTGGCTATAAGTGCTTATGTACTGTAACAGAATTAGTTAATGAAATTTTTAGATTCTGTTTTCTTCTTCCTACTGAAGCTTCCTCTGCACTTTTTCCTTTCTTGATTTTTTACAAAATCCTTTATGGTATCAGAGCCCTAGACCAACGTCCAAGGGAAAATTCGTCCTCTATCTTGAAGTTTTTCGTGTAATCTTGGCAACACAAACATGGAGGTTCATAGCTCCAGCTCCAGTTTCACTTCTTTGGGAGTTCCACTTACTCTACCTGCCATCTCTGTAAAATTGCTAAAGAAAAACTATTCGTTCTAGAGATCACAAATTCTGCTAGCTCTGACATCTCATGGCCTTGAAGGTTTTGTTATTGGTGAAAAAGAGTGTCCACTGATGATCTTGTTAGAGAAATTGGATGACTCAGGACAGACAGTGAAGAAACAAAACCCTAGCTACTTTACTTGGAAGAAAATTGATCAATTCTTGGTAAGCTGGCTTTACTCTACAATCTTTGAATCAATGTTTAGGCATGTAGCTAAATGCAATACTTCATATGAAATATGGAACATATTAGAACTTCATTTCCAGTCGGTATCCAAAGCTAGGACCTTGCACCTGAGAAACCTATCACAGACTACTAAGAAAGAAGGTTGTAATGTGAGTGAATATGTATTAAAAATGAAAGAATTAGGAGATGAATTGATTGCAAGTGGAGTGAATATCATAGATGAAGAACTTTTGCTGTATACATTAGACGACTTAGGGCCAGAGTATGATGCTGTTGTGGCTAACTTGATAGCTTGTAGTAGTCAAACGACACTACAAGAAGCCTAATTGTTACTTCACACACATGAGATTAGGCTGGAGAGACAGCAAAGTTCTTTGTCTAATTTTCATAAGCAAATGGCTTCAGCTCTTTTGGACTCTGGTGCCACAAACCACATGACAATTGATGCCAACAATCTGATCATTAAAGATAACTATCAAGGTGGTTCAAAAGTGCAGGTTGGGAAAGGACAAACAGTACCTATTTCACACACAGGTGAGTCTTTTCTAACTTCTGGCCCTGCTTCTAGGTTGTTGCATCTTAGAAATATGTTGTGTATACCTCATATATCAAAGAATTTATTAAGTATTTCACAGATTACAAAGGATAATGGCGTAATAGTTGAATTTCATATTGATTGTTGTCTTATAAAGGATAAGAACACTAGAGATGTACTTCTTCAAGGTGTCCTAAATGATGGCTTATATCAATTGGAAGCCTTTCTTCCTGTTGTGGTTTCATCTTCTGGTGTGTCTGCTCCAGCTGCTTCCTTTAATGTGGCTGCTTCTTCCACTCTCTATTATAGTTCTAGTCATAATAATAAGACCATTGATGTATTACATATGGTGCAGTTTGATGTAGTTGATAATTCAATGATGGTGTGGCATGCTAGATTGGGACATCCCCAAGAAAGAACTCTTAAGCATGTATTAAATAAACTGCATGTACCTGGAATGTCTGCTTATAATAAAACTTTTTGTGAAGCCTGCCAATTTGGCAAATTATCTCAGACTTCTTTTCCTTTGTCGAATTCTAAGACTTCCAGACCACTTGAACTGGTTTATTTAGATCTATGGGGCCCTACACCAGTGTGTTCTTCAGAAGGATTCAAATATTATATGTTGTTTGTGGATGATTACAACAGATACATGTGGATATATCCTTTGAAACTCAAGTCTAAAGCCTTTAAGGTGTTTACTAGTTTTCATGGTTTTGCTGAAAAATAATTAGATGCTAAACTGAAGAACCTTCAAACTGATTGGGGATGGGAGTTCAAGTCCTTCACCTTATATCTGGAAACTCATGGCATAGGTTTTAGACTCCCCTGCCCCTATTTACATCAGTAGAATGAGAAGATGGAGAGAAGGCATAGAACAATTACAGAGTTTTGGTTTAACTCTGTTAGCTCATGTAGGAATGCCTTTATGTTTTTGGTGGCAATCTTTTAGCACAGTAGTGTTCATTGTTAACAAACTGCTCTCTGTTGCTCTTGAAGATATCTTACCGTATCAGAAGCTGTTTGGTAAAAAACCTATATATACTGATCTTAGGGTCTTTGGTCGTTGTTGCTACCCATATATACGACCCTATCAAAAGCATAAGTTTTCTTATCACACTGAGCAATGTGTGCTTATAGGATATAACCCAGTTCATAAGGGCTTTAAATGCTTGTCTTCCACAGGAAAGTTATATATCATTAAACAAGCTAAGTTCAACAAGACAATGTTTCCTTTTAAACATGACTTTAAGTGTGTGCAACTGAAAAATCTTGACCTTACAAAAGTATCTACAAACACCAGTTCTGAAGGGTTTTATTCATCTTGGAGCCTTGCTCATTGTTTAGACTCCAATTGTGTTTTTGTTACTGGTAATAATGTGTCTCCTACTGAAGAAGTTAATACAACTTCATTTGCTACTGTTGCTACTGATTTACCTTTACCTACTGGAAAACCAAGTGATGGTTCATTATGTGTAGGGGATCTTTCGACAAAATGTTCAACTAAACCCATTAATACATCTGCTACAATAGAACCTACACCAAGTGTTTTAGTGAGGCCTGTTGTTGATTCTGTCTTACCCTTAGTTACAGAATATGATGTGTCTAACCTCTCTTGTGATTCTATCTTAAATGCATCAGGTCTTCACACTGCTTCTGATCAATCTTCAGTTCCAAAAATACACCTGGAGGTTGTCTTACCCATCTCTTAGAATAATGCAACAATGTTAGTACCTACAGCACACACCAATACTATTACAAACTGTCATCCAATGCTCACCAGATCTAAAACTAGGAATAATCAGATTACAAGTCAAGCATATTTGGCAACAACCTCCATCCTATATGAACCAAAAAGTGTGTCTGAAGCTTTAACTACTTCAGAATGGAGACAAGCTATGAATGAAGATTTTGAATCATTAAAAAGGAACAACACATGGGAGTTAGTTCCTCCCACTTCCGATGTGAATATAGTAGGCTGCAAGTGGGTATTCAAAACCAAATTAAAATCTGATGGCACACTTCAGAAATACAAAGCTCGGTTAGTGGCTAAAGGCTTTCAACAAACACCAGGGGTTGATTATTTTGACACAATTTTGCCAGTTATTAAACCAACTACCATCAAGATTATGTTTTCCTTGGCAGTCCATAATAGTTGGCAGATACAACAAATTGATATTAACAACGCTTTCTTGAATGGAGACCTCACAGAGACTGTTTCATGATGCAACCTAAGGGTTTTGGTGATATGACTCATCCCAAGCATGTGTGCAAACTCAACAAAGCCTTGTATGGATTAAAACAGGCACCTCGAGCCTGGTTTGATAAATTAAAAACTGCACTTTTAACTTGGGGTTTTCAGTGTTCCACTTTAGATACAAGCCTATTTTTCTTCAAGAAAGATACTCAAGTAATATACTTACTTGTGTATGTTGATGATATTTTGATTACTGGAAATGATTCAGAGTTGATTGATCAAATTGTTCTTATTTGAATGGCTGCTTTGCACTTAAAACTTTAGAAGAGTTAAGCTACTTTCTTAGTTTTGAAGTTTATAGGAATGAGACAGGTTTACTTCTCACTTAAACCAAATATGCTCAAGACTTATTGAGCAAAGCTGGTTTAACTGAATGTAAGCCATGTAATACCCCAATGGCCACAAGTACGAAATTGGGAAAAGAGGACAGTCCCCTTTTTGATCAACCTACACTGTATAGAAGCTTAGTGGGGGGCCTTCACTACTTAACACTCTCACGACCTGACTTGGCTTTTGCAGTCAATAGGTTAAGTCAGTTCCTTAAGTATCCTATGACTAATCAATGGATTGCATGCAAGAGAGTGCTCAGGTATATTAAAGGGACTATTCAGCATGGACTATTTTTCCAGAAAAATGCAAAGTTTCTTTTAGAAGGGTATGCTGATGCAGATTGGGCTAGCGATGTAAGTGATAGGAGATCCACCTCTGGCTACAGTATCTTCCTTGGAGGCAATCTAGTTCAATGGGGTTCTAGAAAGCAAAAAGTTGTTTCACTTTCTTCAACAGAGGCTGAATATAGGGCCCTAAGTCAAGCTTCCACAGAATTAGTCTGGATTCAGCATCTGTTTCAAGAGCTTGGAATTTAGATAAATGATGTTCCTGTACTTTGGTGTGATAATATGAGTGCAGGTGCATTGTCATCGAATCGTTTTTCATGCCAAGACTAAACATATCGAGATTGATGTTCATTCGTAAGAGAGTTAGCCATGGATAAGAAATTAGCTGTGCAATATGTCGCATTAGAATATCAACTTGCTGATATTCTTACTAAAGCCCTCCCTGCACAAAGATTCTTAATGCTAAAAGATAAACTGAATGTAGTTGCTTCGCTACCAGATCTGGAACAACAATACACAGCAACTGGATAATCATTGGTCTGTTTGGCTGCATATTATTGATCTGTCTTACTGTATATTATTGTTAATTCAGCTCTTATGTTCTTCCTTGATGCTTTGATATAAGAAGTGGTATGCTGATTGACTGATAATTCAGTTTGAAGTTTTGTGCTTGATGATATAAGGAGTGGTATGAAGCTAGTCTGATGCTGTGGTTTGATGCTAGTCTGATGTTATGATATAAGAAGTGGTCTGTGGTTGAGTGAAAATTCATTTTTTTGGTGATAGGAAAATGTTTGGTTTAAGGGGAAATGTTAAGCAAAGGTGCTGAGAAAGTTTTAAACAAAGTGGATGTCTAGGTTAAAGGGAAATGTTAAGCAAAGGTGCTGAGAAAGTTTTAAACAAAGTGGATGTCTAGCTTAAGGGGAAATGTTAAGCAAAGGTGCTGTGAGGAACAAGTGAAAGAGAGTAGTTTTAGAGAAGCTAGGTCTATTTTGTAATGATTGTATAAGCTACATGGCTTAAGTGTAATTACATAATTTAAAAGCATTGTCATTTTATAATAAATATTGGCTATATAAGTGCTTATGTGCTGTAACAGAATTAGTTAACGAAATTTTCAGATTCTGTTTTCTTCTTCCTACTGAAGCTTCCTCTGCACTTTTTCCTTTCGTTATTTTTTACAAAATCCTTTATGCCCCTAGCAAACTTATTTCAGTTTTCCCAAATTTTTAAAAAGCGAAAGGGACAATTGTCTAAACTCCCTATATCATATCAACATTACCAAAAACCCTGTCCTATTTTGTAAATTGTCTCAACCCCCTATTATTTACTAACCGTTAAAACATTTATGTTTAATTAAAAAGCTCGGGGCTAAAAGAGTAATTGTCATAAAAATAATATTGTAAAATTAAAAACTAAGAGGAATAAAGAAAAAATACCTTAACCCTAATATCTCTCTTTTCTTATCTCTCTCATTTGCTCCATTTAATAAGAAAAAATAATGATAACGTTGCAGCCTCTTAATTGGGAGGAGTTTACCTTTTTTACTTCCCGCATTTTTTTTATGTGATGTGAGCTTTTTTTTTCTACTATTTGTCTTTTCTTTTTTTTTTTTAAATTAAATTTTTAATAGTAGGGGGTTGAAAGTAATTTTCAAATTTTGAGGGGGTTTTGTAAGAACAATATAGTGAGAGGGTTTAGTTAATTTTGGCAAAAGAAAATTTGAGATGCGTTTTTTAAGGTTGGAAAATGGCATTTTGGTATTTAAATGAAATATTTGGATGGAAACTTTACGGTCTGGGAAGTTGGTTAATTACTAAAAGCCCCCAATTTTTGGTTAAATTACTGATATCCTTTAAAATGATGATGATAAAATTACATATATAAACTATAAAGTCCTTTAAAAGAGAAATGTAATTCTTTGCCAGTAAATATTAATTCTCTGATCATAGTTGAAGATAGGGGTGTAAACGAGCCGAGCCGAGTCGAGCTTTTGGCTTATCGAGCTCGGCTCGTTTACAACAGTGTCGAGCTCGAGCTCAAGCTCGAGCCTGGCGAGCCTCAAAATTGAGACTCGAGCTCGAGCTCAGTCGAGCTCGAGCCGGCTCGCAAGCTGGTTCGATATCGAGCTCGCGAGCCTTGTCGAGCTCGAGCTCAACCTCGTTATCGAGCTCGATAAGGGCTCGCGAGCTCGTTATCGAGCTCGATAAGGCTCGATCAAACCACCATTTATCCGGGTTTGATCGAGCCAAGTTCCCTTTTTTTACAACAATCTGCCTGCGTACAACATTTCATATTTACATCCAATGTTGAATTAACCATGATAGTTTTGAACATTACAAAATGTCTATTATCTTACAAAATCAAAAAAATATTCTAAATATATATAAATAACATTCCTAGGAGATTACCGATTTCAGAGTGTCTGGTTCGCGATTTGGGATTTAGGGGTCTTTGATTGCGATTTGGGATTTAGGGCAACTGGGATGGGGAACTGAAATTGAGTAATTGACGCTCTGTTTTGGTGTATCGTGTTATTTCAAATTTGCACTTTGGGGGGGAGGGGGGGGAACTGTCATTTTTTTAAACTTTTTTCACTAAAAAATATCAGTTTAATACCTAATAGTTTAAAAAATCACCAAAACACCCTATTAAGTGTACAGTGCTTAATCGAGCCGAGCCGAGCCAAGCTCGCGAGCCCACGAGCCGAGCTTTACTGTGTTCGAACTCGACTCGGTTAACGAACCGAGTTCGAGTTCGAGTCGAGTCGAACCGAGCCTTATCGAGCCGAGCTCTAAACGAGCTTTTATCGAGCCGAGCCGAGCCGGCTCGGCTCGTTTACAGTCCTAGTTGAAGAGAGCTTCTTAATTTAGATATGTGGATCAAAGTGATAAGAGTTCAGAAGATAAGGGTCCATTTAGCATTTAGCTGAGCGCTAACAAAGCGCTATCGTTTTGGGGTTACTTTTGCAAGCCCGCTTGAAACTGAAGCCCCTATCAAACCTTGTAATCTTTAGGAAATGAGAAACAATGGTCTTTGGCCATGTAGGTGACCGTGAGGGTGCTCAATCCCTAGATCTCATGGAAGCAAACCATATGCCTAACCATCCCGCCAAGCCCTCATGGGTGTCAAGGACTCAATCATAAATACCATATTTCATTTAATTCAGGGATGGAAAATTCATAGCATAGTAGCATAAATCAATTAATATTTCTTATGGTCTATTCCTTATTTAATTTAACACATTCCTTTGCAAAGATGAAGAGGAATGAACGAAAAAAATTTCATGTCTTACAAGAAATAAAAACAGAAGTTAAGAGTGAAATTTATGTGTACATGCGCACAATCTTATTAAAGTTTGAAAGGCAAGAAAGTGAAAATCCTAGTAGAGGAAAATGAACAAACAATGTAATCTCAATAGTATATGATAATTGTTTCAATCAATAAAACAAACATATATATATAAGAGAGTATTTGCATACTTACAATTTCAAGCTAAAGATCCAACATTCAGTATTTCTTATGATGCATTACATTCATAGACCCAATATAGAAGCTGAGTGAGTCAAATGATTGAAGCTACAATTGCTCTATTTATTTAAGTCCCCCAAACAAATGATTCAACTTATACAGAAATAAAATAAAATTCTTGAAGAAGATACATTTAAGAATAAAGCATTAATAATCTTAAATTAATCCCTACACAAGTAAATAGACTCCAACACAAGTAAATAGATCCCATATTTAAAGCTAAATATTCCTAAAGACTAAAGCAATTAATTAAATTTATAGACCTCTTCTCAACCAAAACATGTATTATAGATCATAAAAGAAAACGCATGCCATAGGAATAACTCTTTTAACATTTTGGTAACAATAAATGATAGAAATCTTTATATGCTTTCTGTAGGACACAAATGCGGCCTTTATGAAAGTGAATACAAGTAAAGAAGAATGACAATAAAAATGACAGAAATGGCAGTCCATGGAGTTCTTAAAATTTCTTGTTTCAAATTTGCCTTCCACTTGTTCCAAGGTCTTCTGCAATACGCATTCAGATCTTCAACAAGAGAAGAAAACTGGAAATAATAAGAATCAAAAGTAGCCTGCTCCACAAGTTTATGAAAAAGAGTTGGTACTTGTTCACTATACCCAAGAAGATTTTCAATAATTCCTTGTCGAACGAACAATTCCACATCCTTGGGAGTGTGAACAAGATAATTCATGAAGATAACATAGTCACATAAGAGATTATCATCACATTGACTTTGCTCAAACGCCAAAAGATTTTTCACTACATATTCCATCGGGCTACATATACTAAGCCGTGGAATTTCCAATATTTCATCACGGAATTTTATATCAAAAAGTTTGTAGTTGACCCCAACTTGAACTTCACTCCAATTTTATGTAGTTTTGATACATTTAGTGTCGTCAGAATTTTAGGTCTCACTTCCTTTGGCAATTTAGAAGGCACCATGCAAATTCTAAGAAAATGAACAAGATGTTTCACCCTCAAATAATTTCTTTCTTCAAAGTTCTCTATTCCTAAAAATCCGCAATGAAATCTAGTGAACTCATGGGTAATCTCAAGCATAGAAAGTTTACCATCTCTGTTCGAGGATATGTTGATATTCGCTAGCGTAAACAAATCCTCAAGGCTAAAAAATGGAAGCTGATTTTCTACCAAATACATATCATCATTTATATCATGTATTTTATATGGATTACTGAATACTTGATCAGAAATAAGAAACTCCTCCATAGTGTTCCTCAATAATACCTCAATAACAAAGGTGCCATCCACTAAATCAACTTCACAAAGTCATCACTATTAAGTTCAATGCATTCTGAATAACAATTACGCACCGTTTCTTCCTTTTCCTTGTAAGTTTTATAAAATCCTCTAAACTTACCTCGGTTCGTTGAAGAAAATCTTGTAGGTACCTTCTTTTGTACTTCCCCATTTCATTTAACTCTTGTCTACCATGATGAATTGGACCAATGGAGATGACTCGAGGCGTGTAGGCCTTTTCATCTAATCGACGTAGATTCTCTAAAACTCTATGAATAGTGCATCTATCAAATAGCGGATAAATTCTTTCAATTTCATTCCTCATAGAAGTTGCTAAGTGGAAGTGTGGGCTTTCCATGTCAATCATTGCATGATCAATTCTTTCAATTTCTTCAATTTTTGTTTTGGCATTTTCCATCTGCCAATCGAATTGAGATGATCAATAAGAAGAAAT